GGTTATGTTTCAATTGTGATGAACAGTACATTCCAGGACATCATTGCAAACATCAGAAGCTATTCTGGGTCGTTGCTGACTCTGAAGACCCTGATGAGGAGAAGGCCGAAGAAGGGCTGGAGACAGAGGCAGAGATCTCCCTACATGCCATCAATGGAACGGACAATCCTTAGACTATGCAACTCCAGGTGACTCTAGGCATTTTCCTTGACAACAAATCTCCCCAATGTTCTTCCCAATCAGTAGTAAAAAGAAATCTATCTAATTTTGAATAGATTGGATCAGCTTCGAGGTTGGACCATGTAAAATGACTATGCGTCAGATTCAATTCTTTGAGCTCAAATACATTAATAAACTCATTGAATTTCCTCATGCTTGTGGTACTTTTTTGCCGCACCTTATTACACTCCTCAGTGAATCTAATTACATTAAAATCCCCTCCTAAGCACCAAGGACCTTCCCATAATCCTCTTATATCTCATAATTCTTCCCACAACTCATTCCTCTGCCTATAACCATTAGGGCCATATACATTGGTTAACACCCATTCAAAATCATCACCTACCTATTTGAATTTGACAGAAACTGAAAATTTTCCAATCAATTCTTCAATTCTTTCAATAACTTCATTTTTCCACAGGGTCACTATTCCTCCAGAAGATTCCTATGAGGGGCTCATTGCCCAACTGATACCATTTGCTCTCCAAACACTTCTAGCCCACCTACTATTAAATGTCATGAGCTTAGATTCCTGAATTAGTAGTATATCTAGATTCTCCTTTCTTAGCAACTCTTTTATTAACACCCTCTTTATTGCATTCCCCAAACCTCACACATTCCAACTCTCACTCTTCATATTGCTTTCTTTATTTGTCCCTAATCTCCTTTCTTCCTATCTTCCTCCTTTCCTTCCCCTTTCCTTTCTTTCACTGACTTTTTCTCCCCTTCCACATCTAGCTTCAGCCTTTCAACTTCACTCATCTTTCTTTTTCTCACCTTCCCTTCCTCTTTTCTTTTCTTCAAGTAAGTTTTCAGCTCATTCAGATTTTTTATTTTACAACCCAAATTTCCCACAAATTCAGCCAATGACTCTTCTTTCGCTTATTCCCTTTCGAACTCCTCTAAATCCTTTTCTTCTGTCCCCTCACTTTTTCTATACTCCACCTCTTCTCCAGTAATTTTATACCCTTTATCCACACTCTCATTTTCCTTTTTTTTTCTCTAGGGCTTTCCTTGTCAATACATTAAGCTCTTCCAATATCATGCTCCACACTTTCTCCCTTCTCTACTCTTTCTCTCTTGTCTCAATTTCATCATGGGCAAAGGACAATGAAGCAGCTCTAAAACATGGAGTACAAACAACAAAACTAGAGCTGGAGTTAGTACCAAAACCCAAAGGCACAACCATACCTGGAACTGAGTTTGAAGTAGGATTGACAAGGGTATGGAGTTCACAATTCACTCCTAGAATAGATTTTTGCAAGGAATTTCCTGAGCCTGATTCACACTCACAGTTACTTCCAACACTTTGTCGTTTATCCCCCTCTATTATATCTTTATTCGAAGTATGAGGATTGACTGATATTATCTTACCCGTTCCCTGCCCACTGTTCAAATTCTGACATGGTATTTCTCTTTCCGATACATAGTTTTCCCCTATATCCACCAAAGTGTGCTCTGCTTCTCTCAGCATTCTACCATTATTAGGAGGTTTTTGGATAGAGGTTAACTCATTATGTTCCCCAACGAACAGATCGGCAGCTGTGCTAAGAAAATCCACCACTTCCTCTTTCTCCTTTGTGTCTTCCCTAGAGTTATCACTTTTCTGTCTCTGAATCAGGTTCGTAGTCATCATCTGAGGATTCACAGTTAACCCAACCAACATCCTCCTCTTCGTACTCTTCCCTCCAGCCTCTGGAATACCTAGGGTTTGGACGATCTTCTCGCAGATTTCCTTGGTTCGCTTCAGAGTTGGAGATTGGGACCCACTGTAGATTTCGCTTCACCTCAGAACTGTTGCTTCAACTGAAGCGTGAAGCATTCTTTCGCTGGTTCTGTGAGGACGAAGATAGACCATACAAATGGTCTCCAGTCGCACCCAAGTGGACCCGACTCACATGACCTTTTGGAATCAAAATTTTGAATAAGTGCTTATTGTATAAGCACTTAAAAAAGTTGAAATTTTAGGCTTGTTCAATAAGCACTTATTTTGAGCTTATTTCCCAAATGCCAATAAGTGCTTCATGGTATGGTCCCGACCCAAAATAAGTTCTTATTCAAATAAGCACTTATTATTAAGCACTCCCAAACTTGGCTTTAGTAATTAATGAGCTTTAAAGTTGATTGCATTGGGTAATTTTTTGCTATGAACATTCTTCAATCATTTTTTTTTTGTCTAATCATGTAAAGCATGTCGGATTGTGAGTAGTTTATCAAATTGAGTAAACTTCCACAAATTCAATCTTAATTGTTTGGTTCAATTTAGCTTGGTCCCCATCCTAATGATTAGCTTATAATCTTAATTGTTTGATTATAAGCTAGAGTTGGTTTATAAATTGATGAAGAATTGAGTTATTATTATTATTATTATTATTATTTTGAATAAGGCAAGGTAAACTTATTAGAAAAGAAAATAAAGTACACAAAACATATATAAAAAGCAAAAAACAGAGACAGAGCAGATCTCACAAGCCACTCCAACAAAACAAACTTTGAGCAGGCCTGAGATTGCAAGAACAAGACTTAACAAGGGCAACACCCAAACACAAAGACCTTGGTTATTCTACCTATAGAGTCCCAAAGCACCCCTTAAACCAAAAAAAAAAACAAAAAAAAAAAATCGCTAGTGGACCTAATTACTTTTGCCTCTGCCTCTTCTACCTCTCCCTCTAATGCTACAAGTCCCACGGGAAGGAGGACAACAATTAACAGGTCATAATAGTCCATCAGCGGCTTGGACAAAGTAGATCCCACAGTCCATTATTATTTTTGTGTATTATTTTTCATACTTGAAATTTGAAAATTACTTTATAATAGTTCAAATATATTCTTTTAGTAATACTATGATAAATGTACACGTGCAACATACGTGCACCCCACTAGTAGTTAAAAAAATTGCCAAATAGAGAGCTTTGATGCAATAAGACTGAAATAATTTGGAAAACGATCGACCCATCAGTGGTTTCTTGGCTGTTCGAGAAGTTGCTGATTACTCCTTTGATAGCTGTCGCAGTTGTGCAAGTTCAACCTGCACAAATGGAAAAGGCAGGGATTTTCTTCATTCGTAGGGGTAGTTTGGGAATATTGATTTTTTTAGGGACCAGTTCGTCCCAATATTTTTGAAAAAACAATTATTTATTAGGGTAAATTACAAAGGCCCCCTTGTACTATGGGGTTAGTGACAAAGTCGCCCCTGTACTTTTTTTTTGCGACAAAAGACCCCCCGAACTTTAGCTGTTAAACAAAGACCCCCTTGGCCGTTAAGTCAGATGATGAAAAACGTTAAATTACCAAAATACCCCACTAACTTTTTCTATTTTCTTTTTCTCGCCCTTTTTCTCTTAAAACCTATTTAACCTAGGAAATGGATATCTGGTCCTATAGAGTGACTTTATTTGTTTTGATTGCTAGTTATCTTCCCTTCCATGATCAAAACATCATGGCCATGTACAAGAAGATTTCAACCTCGATGTGACGGGAAGAAATGATAAAATATATAAATCTGGTTTGGTGGGTCAATAATTGTTTTCCTTCTTTTTGAGTTTCACTTCACATACCATGATTATGGCCTTGATGTTGTCTCTGGTTAAGTCTTCTAATTCATCATTTTTTCCATCTTCTTCATAAAAAGGGGTCCCCTTTATTCCGTTAACGTTCTCCATTGAATGTTTCAAAACCGTTGTTTTTATGCCATTTCACCTAACTTCAATGGAGAATACAATGAACAGTATAAAAAGGGTAGTTTGGATATTTAAAAAATTGGATGAAATTTTTTTCGAAGTTAACTGACAGAACATTAATAGAAGGGGGTCTTTGTCTAACGGCTAAAGTTTAGGGGGGTCTTTATCGTAAAAAAAGTACAGGGGAACTTTGTCACTGACTCATAGTACATGGGGGGTCTTTGTAATTTACCCTATTGATTTTTTTTGAAGGTAATTTACCCTATTGATTAAGCACTTGAAAAAACTGCTCAATGAAATGAAAATCTTGGCCTTACAATACCCACGAAAGAAGTCATGGCAACAATTGCTGCATCTAGAACATGGAGTAAACCTCTCTCTCCAGTCTCAATTGCTAAAAATTAAGTGGCAAGCACTGATGGTTATTATCTGCTGGGAGACTCGTTGTTTTTAATGGTTCGCATAGAAACCCTCAGCCTCAAGTAGTCATTTAGAAGAGTTTTCTGCTTTGGGATGAAGTCTGTATCTGTAATTTGAGTACGCCCTCTTGTCACGGGGGTAGTTCTACAATGGAAGAAACTCGTGCGGCATCTAGGCCAAGGTAGGTCAGGACAAGCCTTATGTGAGCTTAGAGGCTAGGAGTTGCCTGATGAGATGGCTCCACCAAGGTTAGTAGCATTGGATCATTGATCTCAAGTCGCATGGCCGGGGCACTCGACTGGCTTTGGTCGGTCCATGGGAGGCGCCGCTTATGTGCTAAAGGGGGAAGACTATGAAGTGAGGCGACTGTGTGCCGAAGAGGTGACTTGGCGCCGATGTGAAGAGTCTCCTGTATGCCGATGATGATGGGCACCTGTGTACCATGTTGAGAGGCAACCACTTGGGCCGAAACACACCCGTGCGCTAGGGGCAACGGGATAGCTCAATCAGCTTGGGCAAGGGGCTGGCATGGTGGAGGATCATGTTTGAGCCAAGCTCACATGCCAAGCCTCCCTTGAGTGTCAGTAGCGCAGTGCCGATCCATGCACTGTCTCTATGAGCATGTATGCACCCATGAGAAATCCTGGTAGCCATGCTAGCCATTAACGAGAGTCGTCTGGCAAGGGAAGTTGGTCTAGGAGGGCCAAGGTTATCCACCCAAGGAGGTCGACCACCCTCTATGCTAAGCTTTTGGTGGTCAATATAACGTCAATTCTCCCAAACATGTTTGAGGCGAAAATGACGGTGATGTCCGTTGACGTAACTGCGAGGCGACCACAAGACTCTGCTCCCACCTCGCCGGCTAAAAGCATTAACCAAACAAGGTGGGAAGCCGCGACACTAGGCTGGTGAAGATTAATTATGATGCAAATCCATGAAGAAGTTTCTCTCCCTCGTGCATTCCTTCTGCAGGGCAGTGGAATTGGTCCCGACGCCAACTGCAACCCTCACATCTCACAGTCACAGCTCCTGCAACGGCATTCCATGGAGACAGTACTATCACACTACCACCAACTTCTTCCAACTTAACGCAATTCGAACTTACGCCACCACAAAGCACCGCTCCACTTCCAGTCGAAGGAGAAAACGCGCCGACGAAGGCAAGAGAAGTGCAGCAGCAGCAGTAGAAGAAGAAGAAGAAGTGCCATGGACCGATCAACAATTAGAAGTACTTAAAGCTGTTGCCGAGGGGCAGTCCGTCTTCATCACTGGCTCCGCTGGAACGGGGAAAACCATCTTGCTCAGGCGCGTCGTCGAGGTCCTCAAGCAAATTCACAACCCTAAGCATGTCTTTGTCACCGCCTCCACGGGTGTCGCCGCGTGTGCCCTCAATGGCCATACCCTTCATTCATTTGCCGGGATTGGACGTAGGACCCAAGACCGGGAGGCCATGCTCTTCAATGCTACATCCAACAAGGGGGCTTTCTACAGATGGAAGAGGGCTAAGGCATTGGTCATTGATGAGATTAGTATGGTGGATGCTGACTTGTTTGATACACTAGGGTACATATCTGGAGAGATTCGATACGAAAAGAGCTCCGAAATCTGGAGTGGGATACAGCTCATCGTCAGCGGTGACTTCTTCCAGCTTCCTCCTGTATGGAATCGTTTATCTTCATCTGAGTCTGGCAAGGAATTCGCGTTTGAGGCTGATTGGTGGAATGATAGCTTCGACCAGCAAATTGAGCTAACACAAGTTTTCCGGCAGTCTGACTTGAAACTGATTGAATTGCTTCAGGGGATAAGGAGAGGGGAAACTGATCCTGAAATGTTGAGGCTTCTGTACTCTAGGACGGTGACAAGCGAGCCGGATTCCAAGGTTATTCGCCTCTTTCCAAGGAAGGATGATGTCAACAGAGTTAACCAAGAGAGGCTGAGAAGCTTGGGCCGGGAGACTATTACGTATACAGCGCTGGATGTTGGGCAGGAGCCTTGGAAGAGCGAACTCAAATTGGGGATTGCTCCGGACGAGGTAGAGCTCTGTGTGGGTGCAAGGGTAATGTTGACCAAGAACATTGCTCTGTCGGATGGGCTGGTTAATGGTGCCACTGGTACGATTACGGGTTTTATCAAGCCGAAGAGGACGGTGGTCATGGATATATGTTGCAGTCGGCTTTTACCTGTAGTCAAATTTGATTCGGGGCTAGAGATGGTGATAAAGCCTGAGACGTGGGATGTAATGGAGGGTGATGCCGTGGTTGCCACACGCAAGCAGGTTCCGCTCATGCTTGCATGGGCTCTCAGCATTCACAAGTGTCAGGGAATGACTCTAAACTGCCTTCATACTGATCTTTCCAGAGCTTTTGGCTGTGGGATGGTCTATGTAGCACTTTCCCGAGTCAGGAGCTTGGAGGGCCTTTACTTATCTGGTTTCAAACCCTCAAAGATTAAGGCACACCCAAAGGTCTTGGAGTTCTATCAGAGATTTTCTAATAGCCAAGACTGATCATCCTTTTATGTAAGCAACTCATTTAAAAGTTAATCACGAATTCTAATTTCCTCATTTACCAGAAAAAAAGAAGAATTCCAATTTCTACCTCAATGTTAAGTTCTAGATTTTTTTTAAGTTAATAATCTATAGTTCACTGTCAATTCTGTTGATTCTGATTGTTCCTTCGTTGATGTATATTGTACAAGCACTTTGCATCATATTCTGTTCCTATTCACATTTACTGAATATTAAAGTCCATTTTAATCTTTTAAATTGCACAAGCATGTTTATATTGTACTAGAAATTCGTGTTAACAATATTTATGGCTTCCCATACCATTAAGTTACATCTCTTCCTGATTTTCTTATTTACTTGTCTATCAAGCATCAAACATTCATAGTAGTTATTATTATTGTTAGTGGTTTTGGTTCCTCAATATTAACCATGGCATCAAAGTACCAGGGCATTTAGATTTTGATGTAGAGATTGTAGACCTGCTGATAATTCCAAAGAGGAGATCATCTTTTGTTTCCTAATTTGGTTCTTGCATCATACCTTCTTGGTCTTAAAAAATTGTTCTCTTTGTTTTTTCTTTCAGTTGATGTATCCCAAGTATGTTTGCTTTAAAAATTAAAGTCAAACCTGAAGGAAGGAAAAAGTTCAAATTACATAAAAATCAATAATAAGATAGATAAGATAAACCAAGTTATTTGTGATATTGATAAAAATTATATTTGCAGGTTGAGAAGTTAGATAACAAAATTATATAGTTTTTTTTTTTTTAATTTTCTTCTCCTTCAATTACTTTACATTGAATTAATAATTGTTGTATGTTTCTCAGACACTTTCCAACTCAAATTGCGTAGTTATTCTTTGCATATTGTTTGGAAAATAACATTGAAGTATTTTTTGGGTAACATTACCTTGTATTAATTTAGAATAAGATTGTACATCAATTTTTACATTTCACAGCTCCCATAAGATCCAATTCCCCTTATCCCATCATAATGCAATGAAGCCCACAAATGTTATTCCCTAGATACCCCCTTGTTTATCTTCAAAAAAAAAAAGGAGTATCAGCCAAACCATTTGTGGATTGGTTAACCCATCTGAAGGTGGCTCCTAGGCCTGTAAATGGAGTGGATTTGAACCAAATCAGGCTATGTCCAAATCAATTTTGATTACAAAATGCTGATTTTAATTTCTAATTCAATTTGATATTCAATAGGTATTTTAAGCAAATAACTGAATTCCAATTCAATTAAAATTCGGATATTCACTTCAACTCAAATTTGACCGATTACATTCCATATTCATATCAGCATTAAAAAAACTAACAGGCTCTACTAAGAGAAGTGGAAGAAGCAATAACCATGTCTTGAAACACCTAGATGGGAAGGAGGGAGACGAGAGATAGAAGAAATGACTATTTTAGAGCACAAGAGTGTGGACTATTTTAGAGCTAATGCTGGTACGTTGACAGAGTTGCAGAACTACAATAATTATGGGCCATGGTTTCCCAAGTTCTTTTTCTTGAAAACACATAATCCATGGCTTCCAAGATATCTTTCTTGATTCTTGAAACACATGGTCCATGGTTTCCCAAGTTTTCTTGAAGATATGCAAAGGCTTGTGTAATGAAAATTTCCAGAGTTATTGATAAAAAAAAAAGATATGCAAAGGCTTGTGAGTTGCAGACTTGCAGGCTGAGAAAACATGGGGAGGAAAGATATCAAGAGAGGGGGGTGAAAAGGCATCATTGAATTCAGGATAGAGATGGAAAGGGGTTATCGAGAAAAAGAGAGATGTTTCAGTAGGTTTCTTATTGAGTTCCCTGTTTTGTCTTCTACAACAGTTGGGGGAAACTTGTAATTCAGACATAGGACATTTGTTTATGCTGTTATTGCATAGGATACTTGTTGGTATTTGGTAATTAATATATATTCTATTAATATTGTGATCGAATTCAGGATATTTATTGAATTGAATCAGCATACATTTGAAATTGATTCAATAAAATAATTGATATGAGATAAGTATTCGAATTCGGCCATTAAGAAAATCAGTTTATCTGAATTTGATTCAATTCTGTCAGATCTCAAATATGAAATTGGATAATTGGATTCTGTTTACACCCCTACTGGCTTCTACCTCACTTACTAACTTTCTAATTTCCCTTATGTCTTCTCTGTACTCTGTACACCCAAGGCCTTTGGCTGTTATTATTATTATTATTATTTTGATAATTAACAGAAGTATTCATTAAAGAGAAAAAGATACATGAGAAGGGCTCAAGACAATGAGCATATGTGGAACTGCTTCAACCACATAAGCCCAAACACAAGCAAAATGGAGTAAAACCAGAAAAAAAAAAGATAATTCTTACACATTACAGCCTGGCCCTGGGCATCCCCAGTTCAAACTATGTCTACCTATCCCATTTCTTTCCAACAAATCAGTTAGCATATTAACACTCCTAGGAACCCAGTCGAAAGGCATTCAAAGAGGCACCATATATCCGAACTGCCAAGGAATCAAGTCTTGAGAGTTCATCCACAGAATGATCGTTTGACAATCCCCCTCTACTACATTTGTCAAGCTCTGTTTTAAGCCCAATTTTAGTCCTTGAAGTGAGGCCATTAGTTCAGCTCTTAAAGAATTTCCGTACCCAGCTGGACCAGAGTAACTGAGCATTATGTTGCCTCCAATAACTCTTGGCTGTTATTAATCATCCATCTCACTACCAACATAGTCTCCTTCAACCTCTATCTAACCAAGATTCAGCTGCTTGGCTAGTCTTAATCCTTGCAACAGTGCTGAGATTTCTTCTGTCAGTGAGTTTCCATAACCTATAGGATTTGAGAATGGTTCCACTGTTGAGCCATTTCCCTCCCTAAAAACTCCCCTTGTGCCTGAAGGACCTGGATTTCCAAATGAGCTTCTGTCAAAATTCATTTTAATCCTATTACAGGCTTACAGCTGGAAGGAGCTCACTGTTCTTGTACTCTCACCTTCATAATGGATGAGGTTGCTATCATTTCCCACCCTCTAATGAAGTCTTCCACATTATAGTCCTTGGTGTCTAAATTATGTGGAAACAACATTGACAAGGTGTTGGGGATGGAATTTACCTTAATAATTCAAGTATGGGGTACCCATTTTGAAGTGTCCAGGTAATGCAGATTTAGAGGAGTGAAACTTAATGTACGATGCACATCTCTATAGATTCACAAAACAGTAGAATTCGCATCATCCATAGACAACAGGATGGCTAGACTACCACATATGTGAGCATGAATGTGGTTACATTATTTTATTATGATCATCATGTTTAAGAACTTGTCAGTAAGAAATAATAAGGGAATTCAGAGATTTACTAATCATTCTGAATGGTGAAAACCGGATTCATGTAGCCGACCCATCTAGCTGGGATAAGGTGAATACCGATGATGATGGATTTATTAATCAAACCCTTCAAATCAATCTTGTTTTCTTTCCTAAATTCCTGTTTGTTGGAAAACATTGATATTTGGATGTTTCAAGAGAACTAAGAAAAGAGTTTTCTTAACAAGAAGAGGATTAATGACAAAATTATGACAACTCTCTTACCAAGATCAAGTGAAGAAACCGTAATCAGTTCTAACTTAATGATGGAAGGGGTACAAAGTATACCCGTTGAACCATTGCAGGTACTTTGAACAGCCTTCCAAGCACAATAAGATCATTAGTGGGAAGTTGATATTATCAAGCAGGCATGAATTGCAAGGCATTTTTGTGGCTGTTACAGTTGCAACTCTAGGTGAGTTTGGTGGACTGAAACCAAGGGAACTATAATCAGAAAAAGTGAAAGCATTGCAGTTGGAGGGGGAATATTCGAGTTCTTGTGAGTGTTGGATTTCTAGAGAAAAATAGGTTCCTTCTGAAACTTAGGTGATTGTTTTGCAAGGTTCCCCAGTAGATACTTATGCCTTGAGTGAGATAAGGTGAGTTTGTTCTATTGAGTTACCTGCCTTGGTTGATAATTCGATATGTAACACTTCAGATGAGTTGCTAATCCTATCATTTATATCCTTGTAATATGGACATAACTATATGTATATTTTGTGTTTTGATGGCAGCTGCCAAGGTAAGCCAGGGCCATCTGGAATTGGTGGGATTCTGAGAGACAAAGACAGCAATATGTTCTCTTTTTTCAGGACCAGTGGGTGAAAGTGATTTTGTAAGGGCAGAGTTACTAGCAGCGGTACAAGGTATACAGATGGCTAGTCAAATTGGAGTGAACAATTTGTTAGTAGAAAGGGATTCCAAGGTAGTAGTGGGCTGGCTGAATAGCCCAGATACAGCTTGCTGGGGCTATAGGGACCTGTTAAAGAAAGTTAAATGGATGACAAGAAATATGACTGTCAGGTTTCCGTGGGTCAGCAGATCAGCAAATACAATGGCTGATTCTCTGGCCAAGCAAGGGGTGTCAAGGGGAGATCTGTTTTGGGCTACTTTGTAATTTGTGTTTCAGGCTTGGGCATGCCTAGTGTATATGATTCAGTCCTTGGGGGAGGTAACATCTCATGCCTCTTCCTAGGCTGATTGTATTTTCTTTATTTGAATTAATAAAACTACTCTCATTTATAAAAAAAATGTATATTGTGTTTTCTGTTATTTTGCTTGACCGTTTATGTGGATTCTACCAGTGAATGAGATTTTCAATTCCAGAAAAGTGAAGAAGAAGCTGACAGACTTTACTAAAGAGCTGTTTTTCTGGAGGCTGTAGAGAATAATTATGTTTATTGTACTGTGGGGATATTTATGCCCTTCACTTGTAATGGGTAGTTATGTCTTTTTGATTCTTTTACTTATAGGGGATATATAGGTCTTTTTATAGTTTTTGTACCCAACTCTAAAATGATTGCATATTGTTCATCCCTTCACATCTCTCTCTCTCTCTCTGTGTGTGTGTGTGTGTGTATAGCTCTAAACTGAAGGATAGTTCTGCTACATTACACATTTACACCTTGATTTCTACTGACATTGCCTTTTTTTTTAATCTTTTGACTAAGTTCCAGGATTCTACACACTAATCAAGCATCTAAAAGTCAGATTAAAAAAAACCAAATCAGGTACTGTTGTTTTATAATTATAATTATTTGATATATTTGTACATTGATAGAGTTTATTTCAGACTTTTTCCATCAATCTTTGCAACAGAGACAATCAAGAAAAAGGAGAGTACTCTGTTATGAACAATTTACAAAGGAGTAAAAACTAAAGATAGAGCATTGAAATGATGCTGATTTCTTATTTAGTTGATCTGTGTGGGATTCATTAGTTGATGCACAAATTACAACGAAGAATGTATCAAAAATGTGTGACCATAAATGACCTTATTTAAGGTCAGTATTTCTATCAAAATTCTAGTGTGGGCCTTGGTGCAATGGTAGGGTTGCTTTGCTCCATTGCAACTTGGGTGACTAGGGTTCAAATCTTGGAAACAGCCTCTCTGTATGTGCAGGGGTAAGGCTGTGTACATCTGTCCCTCCCCAGATCCTTGGTGGGAGCCTCGTGCACTGGTCCGTCCTTTATTTTTATTTCTATGACAATTCTCTATGAAATAAAAAGTGCGAACTAGCTCAGCTTGTAAAGCTGGTGGATGTAGTTCCCACTAAGTCATTACTGTGTTACCTCAAATGATATAGAATTGTGGATATCCTCACTTTGTTGGGTTGCTATATAATGTGGATCTGGTAGCATGTTCTCATGTTATCCGTTCTAAAGCTTTTATGGTGATAATGTTAACCTTGCCATACCATTGAAGTGGAATGCCCCCTTGTAGATCTGAGGAAGAAACTATAAATCACTTGTTCCTTTTGAGGCCATGCATGCAACGAGTGTTGTTTGGTTCTGTTTTCAGCTAGAGAACTAATGACTAAAACATGAATTTCATCTGCAGGACCAACTGAACAAATCAACTGCATCAACTCAAGATGGGCAAGACCGGTGGGTGGTAAGGTAATTCCTCTGTCCCCTCCCCAAAAAAAAAAAAAAGAAAAGATCCAGTAATAAATTGAGATTCATTCTCGAATGTCTGAATTCTCAATTGCTATTTAGTCCTTGTTAGGAGGTTCTGATTTCTGGGTTCTCCCCTCCCTTGGTGGCTTGGTGCAATGGATCTTTGATCACCGAGAGCAGGGCTCTCATCCAAAATTTTTCTAGCTGCTCCATCTACTCCTCCACAAGCTTGTAACGAAGTGGCTCATCTTTCTGTTAAAACCATCATTGGTCTTAAGTGAACCCCTGATTCCTGAAGCTCTATATTGGGCTGATCGCTGATGTTGTCCCAAGGTTATACAGAACTTTGTAAGCCATGAGGCTCATGATTTTCGATGAATAAGGCATAAAAAGTGGCAATTCCCATGGATTTTTTTTCAAGTTTTTGATAAAATAATCACATGCTAAACGTTAAACAGTGGAACTTGGGATCTGAAAATATTTACTGTACTCTTTGTAATGCAAAGAGTGGAATTTGATTTCCTTCCATGAAAGAGTATAAATACAAATACATATTTGTATTTGTACTCTTTCCAAACCGAGTCTTAAGAAATCTGAAGTGGGCCTCTAAGGCCTTTATTATTGTTGAAAACTTGGCATTGAGTGTTTGAAATTTACCCAAAAGAACTCTCTTTGAAATGTATATAACAATTCCATAGGTCTAAATTGCCAAAGACTTTGTTTGGATAAACTTTTGCTAATTGCTATTGAGTTTTGGGCTACGGAACATAAAATAGAGTTAAAAGTGCTTTAAACATTATAATTTCAAGATCCAAAGCACAAACTCAAAGTTGGGCTTCTGTGCTTTTGGGCTTTAAAAGCGTAAATCCTGAAGCATATCCAAAGCAACAGAAGATATTTTCGTAAAGGTAAGGAAAAGACAGCATGTTGCATTGTTGTTTATTATTATTATTTTTTGGGTATTTGGTGCCACACACCACTAATAACCCCCCTTTTCCTCAAATCCGTGGGTTCCACGTCAATGTTGGAGCAAATTAGCTAATATATCAACGAGTCACCCCTCCGTTGAATTGTTGATTAATATTTAGTTCTTCAAAGTCTAGACTAAGTTTATAATTGGATTGGATTCAGCAAAATTCAAATTTGTTCTGATATTAAAAAGTTCCATCTGAATCTGATTTGAGATCTTGTCGGATTTGAATTCATATCTTAATGGGTTTGGATTTAATCTGATTCTGATTTAATTTTTTAAAATACAAAAAAAAATTAATTACTTTTCAATTTTTATATATAATAAATTAATATAAATATTAACATACTAAATTTATATATAATATAAAAAATATATTTTTTACAATTTTAAATATAATTATATAAATTTTATATATTAAAATCAATAAATATTATAATATAATTGGATTGGATGGAGTAAAATCCGAATCCAATCTAATTATTAATTGGATGTAGATCAAATTACATAAACAAAACATTCAAATCCGGGATAATTGGATGGGATGTTGGATCACCCACGAATCGAGTATCATTGATAGGTCTAGTCTAGACTTTTAGATGCACGTTACGGAGCTGAGTTATGCCTCATTGGTTGCCATGTATACAACATTTTAGTAGTTCCACGGTAAGATTGGTATCATCTTGTAGGGATCTGCTACTGACAAAACACTCTCAACTGTCTCAATAGTCAATACATTGAGAACAAGTTTAGATCAGGTCACAATAATGAATTGTTATCACCTGTTACTAAAAGTGGGATTTGCCTTGTATAATATATGTGGTGTTTGACAGAGACCTGATCTGCTCCTCACACAGGGCACCTCACACGCACATTCTATCATGCATTGGGAACATATGGAAGATATTTTCAATGCACGGTGAATGTACTTGTGAGGCGCCCACGTATGAGGAGCAGATCCCGTTCCTGTCGTATAGTGTTGGAACCTATTTTGTTGATAGGTGATCTACAGAACAGTTGGGATGACCTGTTCCAATACTCTCCCAACATATCCGACACCGCATGTCTCCCATGAGACTGGGTGTTGGAACGTGTTTTGTTGGCAGGTTATCAGGACTTTGAGTCCGCCCAACGGAAACGGTCCCAACTCAAGTTCAAATGACTGGTTCGTTAGCATTACGCCATTTCATTTTGAGAGCAACACTCAACAGAGAGTCAGAGAGGGAACGAAACGAGGAGCCTTATTGATGGTTTCTTGCATGTATACGCAGAAGTTCGTCCACTCCGTCGTCCGTTCCTTCTACAGGGCGTCCCCAGCGCTCATTACAACACCCACATCTCACAGCTACAGCAGCGGCATTGCATGGAGACTATACTATCACACCACCACCACCAACTTCGCCCAACTTAACGCCATTCCAACCAACGCTGCTCCAAAGCGCCGCTCCACCACTACCACTACCACCAGAAGAAGAAGAAAACGCGCCGAGGAGGCCAAGAGAAGAGCAGCTGCGGCGGCGGCAGTAGCAGCAGCACCTGTAGAAGTGCCCTGGACCAATCAGCAATTACAAGTACTCAAAGCGGTCGCAGAGGGAAAGTCCGTCTTCATCACTGGCTCCGCCGGGACAGGGAAAACCATCTTGCTCAAGCGCGTCGTCGAGGTTCTCAAGCAACTTCATACCCGTAAGAGCGTCTTCGTCACCGCTTCTACTGGTGTCGCTGCTTGTGCTCTCAGTGGCCAAACCCTTCATTCCTTCGCCGGCATTGGATTCGGGGACGGTGATCGGGAGAGCCTGCTCTTAACTGCTAAGTCCAAGTCTTCCTATAGATGGAAGAGGGCTAGGGCGTTGGTCATTGATGAAATTAGCATGGTAGATGCTGACTTGTTTGATACCCTAGAGTACATAGCTCGAGAGATTCGACGCAAGGAGAGTGGTCGGCCCTGGAGTGGGTTACAGCTTATCGTTAGCGGTGACTTCTTCCAGCTTCCTCCTATAGGTAATCGTTTATCTTTGTCAGGGAAGGAATTTGCGTTTGAGGCTGATTGCTGGGATAGAAGCTTCGACCTGCAAATTGAACTTACTCAAGTTTTCAGGCAGTCCGACTTGAAACTGGTTGAATTGCTTCAAGGGATAAGGAGAGGGGACAACGATCCTGAAAGGTTGAAGCTTCTGCAGGATAGGACGGTGACAAGCGAGCCTGATTTCTCGGTTACTCGCCTCTTTCCAAGGAAGAATGATGTGAGCAGAGTGAATAAAGAGAGGCTGAGAAGCTTGGGCCGGGAGACTGTCACCTATACAGCGCTTGATGTTGGGCAGGAGCCTTGGAAGAGCCAACTCAAATTGGGGATTACTCCTGATGAAGTGGAGCTCTGTGTGGGTGCAAGGGTTATGTTGCTCAAGAACATTGCTCAGTGGGATGGGCTAGTTAATGGTGCCACTGGTACAATTACTGGTTTTAAGCAGAGGGAGACGGTAGCCATTGATATATGTTGCAGCCAGCTGTTACCTAGTGTTCAATTTGATTCAGGACCAGAGATTGTTATATTGCCAGAGAAATGGAATGTAATGGAAGGTGATACTGTGTTAGCCACACGCAAGCAGATTCCGCTCATGCTTGCTTGGGCCCTCAGCATTCACAAGTGCCAGGGAATGACTCTAAACTGCCTTAATACCGATCTGTCCAGAGCTTTTGGTTGTGGGATGGTCTATGTAGCACTTTCCCGAGTCAGGAGCTTGGAGGGCCTTTACTTATCCGGTTTCAATCCTTCAAAGATTAAGGCACACCCAAAGGTTTTGGAGTTCTATCAAAGGCTTTACTATAGTCAAAACTTATCATCATTTTAGGTATGTAAATTGGTTAAAATTTTGATTACAAAGTCCAATTTCCTCCAACCTTTCTTTGATGATTGTATACTGTACAAGTGCCTTGCATTATGCTGTTTCTATTTTACTAGATGCTAAAGGGTCATTTCACTTTTTTAAAGTGCACAATACGTCTTATTATTCCAGAAATTCATGTCACCAGTGTTTATGGTTAATCCTTTGTAATCTGTTGTGAGTTATATGTACTTCATATATAATAAGTAGGCTAGCCTGTTTGGGGCCCTTTATGCTTGTATCTTGATCTTATGGTTAATGAAATCTCTTTCAGTTTCTGATCAAATAAAAAAAGGGTAAAATACAAAAACATCCTCTGACATTTCTGACAATCACAAAAACCTCCCCTATAGTTTCATTTTAAAAAATACCTCCCCTGAACTTTTGAGAAACTCAACAAAAACCTCCCTTCCGTCACCTTCCCAGACAGAAAACATTAGACTGATGTAGCAGTTTCTTCCAAATACCTATTCTACCCTTTTATAAATTATTTTACATACAAAATTACTGAATAACCATGTTTTAATTCAACAAAAACATTAGAAGATGATCATTAAAAGGAGATTTTTGTCAAGTAAAAACAGGGTTATTTCAGTAATTTTGTATGTAAAATAATTTAAGGGTAGAATGGCTATTTTGAAGAAATTGGTGCATCAGTCTAACGTTTTCTGTCTAAGAAAGTGAAGGAAGGGAGGTTTTTGTCAAATTTCTCAAAAGTTCAGGGGAGGTATTTGTTAAAATTAAACTAGAGGGGAGGTTTTTTTGATTGTCAGAAACTTCAGGGGAGGTTTTTGTATTTTACCCTAAAAATACACAGAACAAAATTTTATTTATATAGTTTATTTTTATTTCCATTTTTCACTTTACATTGAGTTGATACATGTTGCATTTTTGGACCATACTACACTAGATTTGCTTCCTATTTTTTGCATTTTGATTTGAAAAGAATGTTGTCAAAATCTTACAATTAATGATGGCAATTCACTATTTGAATCTTGAATCCCAAAGGCTTTAATTAAAATCTTATACCTTTTTTTTTTGAAACGGTAAGGTAATTTTATTGAAGAAGATAGAAGGTACAACAGAAATCAATTATGGTTACTGTTTGAATCTTACAGTTTTATTCATGAATCTTATGATTTGTAGATTCATGCAATTTGGAACAATTCAATTACGTCCTAGTTCTTTACTTTCTCTTCTTTACAGCTGTGTTTTTCCTGTCAAGGATGACCTTCTACCATTCTAAATAATCTAATGGATAAAAATAAGTAAATAACCAAAGGAGCGGACCGCATGTCACAAACTTATAGGGATATGCCGGGTATATCAATAACTGAGATACCAGACCAGAATGCTAATTAACTGATCACTGAGAAGAACAGGTCCATAAGAGGCAAAAATGGCAGATGGCAGTAAATATAATTGAAAAGAAATTCTACTGAATATTCAGAAGTGATCAGCAAAATATAAAACCAGATTCTGCATGCCACAAATAAAGGGGCAAACCACATACAAGAGAAATCAGTCCAAAAGAGTCATGCAACCAAATGGACTCAATAGATTCCATTTTGAGTTTCTGTCAACTTTTATAAGAGAAAAATCTTGAAAGTTATAAAGGACTCCTAATTATTATCTCTCTTTGTGAAGAGTGTGCTGGCCACTCTACCTATCTATTATCTTTCTTTGTTAAAAAACCAGCTGGAGTTGCACAGAAAATGGAAAAAGTTCAAAAAGATTCTTGTGGACTAAAGCGGGAGGAAGGTTGTTTGGTGAAGTAAGACCGAGTTTGTAGGCAGGATAAAAATCTTAAATAGGGCACTTTTGTGAAAGTGGTTTTGGATATTCAACTTGGAGAGGGAAGCACTATGGAAAAGAGTGCAATTACAGGTTGGCCAGCTTTGAGTGGGATTCTAGATAAGTGTTTACTTCGCATGGAGTTTGTGTTTAAAATAGAGTTTGTACTTAGAATGAGATTATGCAGTTTTAACAATCTTGTATGGAGCTGACAAAATTTAAGGCGGGAGAGCAATCTAGTTTGAGATCTTAGGAGGATGATTGATGTGGAATTAGAAAACTGTGTGAGTTATGCCCAAGACAATGCAGGTTGTGCTCCCAAGTCATTACAATTCCTAATGCTTTGAGATTAAAGGTAATCCAGTGTTTTAAAAGGTGTGGGAGGCGTACGCCTCCAAAATGCCCTGAGGTGCATGCCAGTGGTGTTGATACCTCTGAGGCAAATGCCTTATGCACCTCACACACACCACATACAAAAAGACAAAAAAAAGGAAAGGAAAGAAAGTGAAGGGAAAGAAAAAGAGAAGAAAAAAGGAGAAAAGAAAGAAAAGGAAAGGGAAGGAAAGAGAAGGGGAAAGAAAGTTTTGGAATAAGACCCCCCTTCAGCTAGTATTCTCATCTTCATTCTTCTTAATATAAAAGATTTTTATTAAAATAAAGAAAAATGAGATCTTCCTTCCTTTTCTTCCTCCTCCTCCTTCCTTCTCACCCCCCTCCTCTTAAGGAGGTTTATGCTTCTTTCATTCTGAACTATGCCTCTACGTTTTAAAACACTGAGGTAATCAAGTTGTTTGATGTCCCAAGTTTAGAATACCTTTATTAGATAAGGAGATTGTTATGGGCCCGCGCGTAGGATCTCGTCGCGGGTCGGTCCACCGGGAGAGACTCCTGTCTTCCCTTGCCCTTGCCCTTGCGTACAGACCCTATTGTGGCAATCGCGTGGGTGATTTGTCCAAGGGATCACCCGAACTCTCCTAACACCTTTCTTGGTTGAAAACTGAATGCCTTTACTTCAATTCGTAGTTCCTTAAATAGGAGATTACAGAGGAAAACTCCTTGTTGGATTCGGCTAGGCTAGGTAATCCAACTTAACTCAAACTCCTAATTACCTACTCCTAATGGTAACACAACTCTTAGATAAGATAAGATGAGGATAAGGGATGAGGAACGGAGTAGCTGGCAGCGAGTTGGCAGGGCTGATGTGGTAAGATAAGTGTGGACCCACCCTGATGAGCTGTCGTGTGGGTCCCACCCTACTGCTGTTGCCGTGTGGCGCGCGCGTCTCATAGTGCTGCTGCCGTGTGGTGCGTGCTGGGCGCTGCCGGCCGGTGCGTGCTGTGCGCTGCCAGGCG